CTACTGCTCAGGGCTTTCAGTACTGCCGCAAGCCACGACGCACCTTACTCTCAGCCTATTAAATCTGCCCTTTCTGAATGCCTGAGAAAGTCTCAAAGTCACGGCAGCAAAGACTCCGGCGAGCAGCCGTACTGCAGCGGTGCCGTGGGCCCAGGCAGCCCACGTGCTTAGGGCAGAAGATTCTTGCAGCCCTGCTCCCACCAGGGAGGCCAGGCGCCCAGAAGCCACCTCATCGGGGTGTCCCTCGAAGGGAGGGACGCTCAGGAACCGCAAGCGAGGCGCGAGGTCACTCGGTGACACCCTCTCCTCAGCCTAGGACAGCCAGTGCCCCGCAGCACCCCTGGGCCTCAGCGCAACAGTCCCCAGCGAGTGCCTAGCATTGAGACGGCCCTGGGGCGCGTGCTGGCAGAGCCCGTACCAGCAGCACCTCACCTCCAGCGCAATCGTGGCTTCAGCTGCCAGCGACTGCCCCGCTCCCGGCGCCAGCGAGCAGACCTGCCTCCCAGACGGCCGTCTGCCCAAGGAGTCCAGGAAGAGCGCAGCGTGTGCCAACAGCACATCTGTGAGGGGGAAAGGGAAAAGGGAACACACTGCACAACCTCGGCACCTCTGCCAAAGTCCCCTTGCCTCTGGGAGGTAGCTCCGTGGGCCAGCAGAGCACATCCCCAAGACTCCAGCAGCCCCCCTGCTTTATTGGGTCACAAATTAACTCAGTTAAGAAGCTTCAGTGTTGCGGCTTTTTTCAAAAAGAGGCGCCACAGCCAGTACCTAACTGAGTGCCAGTGAACAGAGTTACAAGCCCTCTGCTAAGCACAGAGGAAAAGCCCTTCGGGCCTCTCTCCACTTTGTGGGGCAAAATTACGGGCGGTAGGAGCCCCCCAGATACCAGAAAGATCCGGAAGAGCAGGCAATGACAAAGGGACCCGCGAGCCTTTTTGCATGCAGTCAGAGGCTTGTGCAGGAGAGCAGCCCAACCGTTCTTTGCAGAGCTCACAGCACATCACCGTGAGACAGAAGATCGCCCCCAGACTTGAAGCAAAAAAATCCCTCAGCCTCCTTGTTCCCCAGTAAGAGAAGCCCATACTCACCGTCCCCTCTGCCACTGCTCCCCAGCACTCGCAGCTTCAGCTCTTTACTTCTAGGCCCCAACTCCCTGTTGAAACAGAAACAGACTGGCTGGACTTGCAGAACTGCCGCAGAGTAAATGACCCCTTAGGGATATTTTCTCTCCCTCAAACCCTTGTGCCTTGGGCATGCTGCAAAGAAGAGCCCTCAGGCTCGTGTCCCATGCAGCAGCAGAAAAAGGCTGCACGGAAGGCCATGAACTGCAGCCCTTCGCCCCAACACTCCCCCACACTCCCGTGGTCAGGGCTGCTGCCCCTCCGCTCAGAACGCGCGGCATCCAGGAGAGCGAGGCCTGGAGCCGCGAGCTCAAGCTCACCGGCAGAAGCGCCGGGCAGCGGCACGCTGGGGCAGCGCAGCACGGGCACCACTGTTCTGCGGGGCAGCCTGCAGCTCTGCACTGCCTGCACTCGCGCCCGCACGCTGGGAATGACACCCCGACACAGTGCCAGGCCGCCTCTGCTGCGCCAGCCAGAAGGAGGGCTTCCACTTACAGAGCGAGCTCCTCGTTCCACTCCATCTCTGCTGCAGCTCCACCACCACCAGCTTGCAGGGGCTTGGTGCATTTCTGCTGCAGAGGGCTGTCAAGCTCCGCCACACAGTGTATTTCCCCAACTCCTGCTACGGGAGAAGAGGGAGCGCATGTACATGTGGCAACAAACACAAGGCACATTCCTTGCCATTCAACCCATCCAAAAGTTCCACACTTTTGAGCGCTAAGCGCCTCGGCCCGTCCCGCCGAAGAGCTAGCGGTGCCTTCGCGCTTACCTCCCTTGCCGGTGCAGCCCAAGTTCAGCACTTGCAGATTTCGGAGCAGCAGCTTCGACCCCAGAGGGGCGGCCCCGCTGCATGGCCCTTCTTGTGGCACCTTCTCGCTGGGTACCTGAGGAGCGATGAGAGCAGGACTGACGCTGCAGAGGCAGCAAGACACACGGCTTTAGCTTGTGCGTATGCTAACTAGCTGAACGCACAGGAACACCTGAGGTATTTCCAGAGCTGTTAGCCAGCAGCAGGCCCACTATTTTTTCACATATTATCAAGCATACAGAGATAGTCAAGGATGAGCTTGCAGACTGCTAGAAGGGCAGGTGAAGATGACCAACACCCTCAGCTCAGTAAAGACTGTCCTGCTGAGGAGCTCTCCTCTACTCCCTTGCATTCGTTCCTGACCTCTCAGTCCAAATTCCCTCTCTGTCGCTCCTCTTAAGCCAGCGTCTCGACTTTTTCCTGCTAGTAAGTGCTAGCCAAGAGCCCCGGTGCTCAGAGCGACAGAGAGACTGCCGAAGCACAGACGTCTCTCCGGGACTCGGCCTTCGCCACAGAGCAGCTGGCGCTCAAAGCTCAGAAACCAGGTGCAAGCAGCAAGCGCTCTTCAGAGCGATGCTCTGTCTTGTGACCCTCGAGGGCACGGGCGCCGTGCCTGTGACAGTACAGTCAAGGATGTGGCTGCTGCCCATCTTGCCGTGGGGCAAGGTTCAAGCCTTGGCTTCGTGCCTAAGCCCTCAGAAGGACACCAGGGCGCTACGAAAGACGAGGAGAGCCTTACCGCAGCGGCACCGGGGGTGCAGGCCTTCAGATTCACCATCATGGCTGGCTGCGTGCTGACAATGGTATCCTCTATCAGATCCGTTATGGTGCACAGATCCACTCCCCCTTCATTCTTTTCTCCGTAAGTGAAAAGGAAATGCAGCAAAGTGATAAGCAAGCAGACACACTTTCTCCTTGCACAGTTTCATTCTGCCACTGCCTCTCAAAGCCCCCAGGGCACTGCACAGCCTCTCCCCCTGGGTCACACTCTTCCATATCTTGCCATCCTCTGTGCAACAGTTTGAAGCAAACAGAAGCTGCCTACCCAAGACAAATTAGGCCTTTGCATCTGTAGTCTATTCCACTGCAAATGTGGAGAAAACAGCCTTTACAGTTTGCCTCACAAAACGGGGAGATACCACTGCTGCGTTTTTAGGACAGCAACCCAATTCCTATATATATATTCTGAACAAGGCAGCAAAGGTGCCAATAAAAACAGCCTTCTGGATCAGAGGGCCCAAAGTGAACGTGCTGCAGCAGCACAAGCACGTGTGTGGTCCGTTTGTTCCGCCACCAGCACCCATTGGCTCTGCACACACTAACATCACCGATAAATAAGTGAGTAAATAAGCAAGCAACTCTAGCAACAATAATGGGAGCCCCTACATAAGGGGAAAGCAACGTTGGCCATGCACGCTCCCATTCAGATGCTACGTTAACCTTGCACAACATGCATTGGCACGGCTCTGGCTCTCCTGAGGCCGCGCTCTCTTGGTACAACTCCTGGCTTTGAGCCTGGCCTCCTCCCGTTGGCTCACCTTGTGAGGCTGAAGTCTCGGAAGGACCGAGAGGTTCAGGTCTGGTCGGTCCTTGAATGCCCACGACACCAGCAGACCCTCATTCTGTATCTCCTGGAGGTGGATCTCCACCTGGGCCAAAACAAGCAGACACTGTCAGGAACACGCTCGACTTTCAGTTTCGTTTTCTTTCAAACTCAAATTCCAAGACTGAAAGGGCCCCACAAAAGAGCGACAAGAGACAGAAAGACAGACCACAAGCGGCCCAGGGGCTACGGGCAAAACCAGCTGCAGAAGCCACACGGTGCCACGGCAAGACCTGACTTCCTTGCTGCCTTTGCATGCACGGTGTCCATCAGAGAGAAGAGAAAAAATGTTATTTCTTTGGCCAAGGGAAAGGCCTGCGGGACACCGAAAGAGAGAACGGTGGGTACTAATGTGGAACATTTGCTGAACAAGATCCATTAACCACTGCCAAGCCTGAGCACATCTCTGAGCTAGCCATACTTCTCTAAGAAAGCATTTTCACACTGCAAACTCATTGCGGTCACCAAGCAGCTTGCAACATTTGAATGGATCCTGTGACTCAAGTGAAAAACCCCATATCCTGTCATCATTAATACAAGAACCAGCAATAGAACTACACAGGAAGAACTCCTGCCCTGGTGTCTGCATAATGACAACAGGCTGCAGTTGAGAGAAACTGAAAAATGAACAGCCACAACATTTTGCATGAACATAGAAGCTCCTGAGGTGAAAGCAGCAGCCTGGGGACATGGCAGCCAGAGAGGTTACCAAGCAGAGGTGCATTAGAAAAAAGACAGGACATATTTGGAAAGGGAGAACTCCAACTACTCTGTCCTAGAGAGGTACAGAAACTTTATCAGCATTGAAAGAGGCAGCACAAAGCTGACGCTCGGAATACCACATGCGATTCTCTACAGGAAAGACCAGCCCAAATCTATAGCAGATGCACACGAGGAGACCTAGAAAATTCCAGCGCGTCAGAGGAGCAATCTGACAAGATGGGTCAAAGAAGATCACCTGGCTTCTACACACCAAGCAAAGATGAACAGGGGCTGCAGCTGCCAGCTGCAAAAACATCGGCAGTGGCCGAGATAAACAGCAGGGAGAGAGAGGAGCTTTCTAAATAAACGCGGAACTATGAGAGCAGAGATCCAAGGAAAACCTTCCAACTGTAACGTTTGCGAAAGCTTGGCACTGGCCTTTACAACTCCTGAGGTTACTTCCAATCCTGCTGCCTCTTCCTAGCATCCTGGAGGAAGCAGTCTCCCAGCAAGATGCTATCTCCAGCATCAAGTCCTTCTTCCTGAGGGGGAAACGAAAGTCTGGAAAAGCCAATCCACCTGGACAGCAACTACGGAGTGAGCGCCCACTGCAATTGCGCAGAGCATGTTTTCTGCAAAAAGCATTTCCCATATCCAAAGCAAAGAAAAAAATGGAATGACATTCCTAAGAAAGTGACGAGGAGAGCGTTGTCAAGCAGAATTTCTTTTTCACTCCAACCCCAATACAAAGTGGCGTTTGTAAAGACACGCAGGATGCATCTCTCCCCATGCAGGGCCCTGCCGGGGTGGCGAGGCGGGTTGAACCGCGTGAACGATGCCTCAGACCTCTGCAGTCCCGGATTTTGTGCCACCTATATTACACAGGCAAGACCTGCAGGAAAGCACCTAGAAAATCCGACTCGGTGCACCGATCAGGAAGATCTGCCACAATGTCGAGAAATAGGGACAGAAGGGTTCTCGTCCTGGCACAACGGGGCCTTCACTTGCACTAAGTCCTCCTCGCTGAGCCAGTGTAGGAGCAGCAGCAAGACCAAGTTCAGTGACAAACTTTTTGTAACTGTTACCTGAGCCTGCAGCAGAGCCAAGGTGACATGATAGGTATCCACGGAAACAGCCGCCGGCGACTGCTGAGTAACAGAGACAGGGAATTTCACAGCTTCGGCTGACAGACCGCAGCGCAGCACCTAGAGAGCAAAGACAGAACACGGGTTTACACGCTCGCTGCGAGGCAGACGTGTGATGGCAAAGCCTGTAAAAGCAACAGCGCAATCCGCTGTGGCGGGAAAGGAAAGGCAGGCTTCTGGCCAGCCCCTTGGGCGCAGATAATCTGCCACTGCCAAACTCTGTCACTGAGGCAGCAAAGATGCGTGAAGGATACCAGATCCTTCCTGCTCTCCTGTGCAGGACCCTGACATTCAGGCCCGGCACTGCACAGCTCAGCCCCATGAGCACACCCGCCGCCGCGCTGTCGCAGAGCTCGCGTGCTCACAGCCCAACGCGACCCTCGAGCCCGAACCTCGCAGGTCTGCGGGCAGGCCGCCGAACGGAACCAGGGCCTGGGCCAAACCTCGGCCCAGGTGCGTGGCGCCAGGCGCGCAGGCCTGGCAAGCCATGCAGAAGGCACTGCAGGTTCCCCCAGCGAGGGCCCTGCCTTACCATGCTGTGCTCCGACTGGCCCTCGCACGTCACGTCGCTCACACTGGCTGCTTGTGGTAGCTGAGCTCCCTCTTCAAATGTGATCTGCACCGAACTCTGTGGAAGGAGAACTCCATTAGGGCCTAGGGGCCAGGGTATCCCAAGTACTTTCAAGGAGGAAGAGCTGCTCCCACAGGGGCCCCTGAGACGTTCCGGGGAATCTCCAGGCGCCCGACCACGCCGCAGAGCTGCCTGTGCACAGTAACACCCGGTTGAGCTGCTCTGCGCAGAGAAGGGAAACGAGCTCTGCTCACCCTCACGAAAGCTACGAGTAATTGCAGATCGGTGACCCGAGTTAGAACGCAAAGTGATTCTGGCGAGCAGTCGACTATGAGGAAAGTAAGTGCTGTAACTCCTAACCACAGGAGCTTTGAAGTTCTTTTCTGTCTTCTGTGCTCCATTCGACTAATCCTGCCCCAGGTCATAAAGCAAACAGAAAAACCAGTAGCAAAGCATCCTAATTGCATGATACATCAGCTCCTGTACAGGACTTGTCCCCTTTCCCCATCCTCTCCTGACTTCTTAGATCTCAAGCTCTGCTATCCCTCTTCTTCCCTCGTGGATTTCCCAACATAACAGGAACAGTTCTCTACAAGGGACCCTTCTCATAAATACAAGGCCAAGGTAAGAGCCAAGAGCATCCCTGCAAGAGACGTAGCGCTCCAAGGTCCCCTTTGCTCGGCGGAGAGAGGTAAAGATGGCCCAAGGGCCAACACCCCCCGCTCCTCTGCTTTCACGCGGAAGGCCCGAAGTACTTACGACTGTCCACTCCACCACAGTAATCCCAGCACTAAACTCTGCCTTGCAGAACTGCTCACGGCTTTTCCTCAGCTAACGAAAAGAAATGTGACAGCAGAAGGAGCTGAAAATAAGATTGCCTGAGGAGAAATGAGATCGCTTGCTTCTAGCATAAATCTATCCCTGAGTTCTCTTGGGATACGGAAAGAAGAGCATGGATGAGGTTGGACTGGGCACAGGGAAGGAGTTGCCTTCACCTGCAAAGAGCAGCAGCCAGCCCTACAAACTTTCCCTCTGCCAGAAGCAGAAAGGCACGGAGAGGGTGGCGAGGGAACTTCTTTCCACGAGGTTAGGGTATTTTCAACAACAGAAAATTATTTGGAGCCACGAAAGAAAGAGCTGGCTTTGGGGATACGTCGCCAGCAGACTCTGCAGGCCCTCAGTCGCCAAGCAATAAACGAACCCAGCGTGAACTGACATTCCCAACTTTCCTGCAACGGAAATGTGCAGGATGGGCAGCGCCGCCCGCCAGGCTGCTGCTCGCGCTAGG